TTTAGAAAAATATTAAAGATGAAATAAATTGTAGAGAAATGGTTGTATTATTTTTTTTTTATTGGTCTGTTTAATTCTTGCTTACTGAGAACAGTCCAAAATGGGGCTAAATGTTAACCCCCGGTTGAAAATCGAGGACCACCGCCTTTGGGGCGAGGTCTTCGGCAACAAAACAAGATTTCAAAATAATTTTTTTTTTTTTTTTTTTTATTCCCCCCCCGCCTCCCCACAACTTCTCCTGGGGGGCGGGGGGTGGTGGGCCGTGGCGGGGTGACGCTGAGGGGGAGTGTTGGGGTGGGTTGGGCGGGCATGCCCAACCCCCAAAAAAAAAAACCCCCCCCCCCCCCCCCCCGTGCCGCTCCCAGCCCACTGACCCCCCGTCGCCGGCAAAGTGGCCAACGTAATGGGCACCTTTAGCGGTTTTCAAAAAGGCCTTCGGTCTTTTGTCCCTCCTACTTCCTCAACCCCTCTTCGCTTGCTTGTTGTCTACTACTCAGGAAAGAACATTTGTTTGGGGGTGGGGGGGGGGAGACTGGGCACTGCCTTCTTGGCCTTGCGTTTTTTTGTGTGTTTTGTTGGGGGGTGAAATTTTACATTTCAAAAATATTCTGGTTATTTGGCAATTTTTAAAATTAAACAAACCTTTGTAGGGTGGTAATACAGTCGAACACCTGATTTACGTATAGTAGTCACCTATTAAAGGCGGCAACCCCGATTAATCAGGGTTTATTTACATATTACACTGATTATTGGGACTTTGATAGCTGTCCGCTTAAAAGCGGCCGAAACGCCCTATTAAGCAGCAATTGCCATTTTCAGAACCGAGGGTGGCTGCGTAAATCGGGGTCGAATGTAATTGAGAATGTGTGGTTCTAGAAAATATCCCCATACCCCCAACCAGCAGAGTGAGTTGTAAAACTCCCAGGTGGGAGTGGATTGTCTCAAGGCTTTAGTTTGATTAGTTCGGTCATCGATTAAAATCGAACTTATAAAAATTTGTGAATCAAACAAAATTTGAATGTTCGAGAATTAAGTTCCGGAACTCATTCGCAACATGAAAAAAAAATAAAAAAAAAAATTGCGAATCAAACACAAAATGGTACATCTGGTTTACTTTTTTCTACTCTTGTTGATATTAAACAAATTCATGACTCAGATAAATGTTTACCAAATCACTCAATTTAATGTTTTTTTTTTTTTTTTCTTTTTCAATGAGAATTATTTTATTGTTTTGTATTTTTTTTTTTTTCTTTATTTTTTTGTTTTTTGCAAGCTCAAACAAAAAAAAAAAAAAAATTCAGAACCCGACAAAAAATTTTATGCCAAATATAAATAAATTATAAATGGATTCTTTGAAAAAAAGAAGTCTCCTCTAACAATGGATCACCAGTGGGGTTTAAAAAAAAAAAAAGAATTATTTACCCCACACAGAACAAACCCGTTGTAGCGAATTGTATTTTTTTTCAGACCTAACTAGCGAAGCAAAAAAGGGAAAAAAAAAAAAAAAAAAAAAAAAAAGGATGGGAGTATATGTGGCTGAACACCAAGGGATTTTAAGCAAACCAAAGAAGAAACGCGAACTGATATGGTGATGGAGACTGATTTCCAAACCTTAGGAATACGATACAGGTAAAAATACAATACAATCAAAAGACTGTAGCCTGAAATAACGAAGATATTTACCAATTTTGGCTATTTTGAGGGGTCAGCACAGGCATAGTGGGGACCCTGAAAAAAAAACTCCTTCCCCTTGGCATCATTTCTTCTCTTCTTTTTCTTTTTTCCTTCTTTTTGTGCCTGAACAAACAAACAAACAAACAAGTCAACTATAGAGTGAAGAACGATTAAGCATTTCTTCACAAAAGAAAAACACTACTGGACGCAAATCACAAGATTGATGTTTTGGTGTAGGTTCTGATAAATAACATGTAGATGCACAGCATGTATCATAAATCAAGGGCTGCAAATAGAACAGGTCGTTCAATTGAAGCGGACAATGGCCTA